CCCCAAAACCCCAAAACCCCAAAACCCCAAAACCCCAAAACCCCTTTGTTCAAGGTATTGAAGTAATAAATTAAAATGATACTTCAAACAATAGTAGCTAAGATTTATTATTTAATATTAATATAGCAGAAAGCCTGAATATGGATGTATGGTATTTCGATTGTTTATTTTCATCATAGATCTAATTGGCAGTTATTAACTCAAGCAATGCAGTGGGTGTGAAAGACGTACCAGCTAAGGAGTTTATCGAAGCCTTCGCTAAGCATCTTAAGAAGGGCAACAAGTTCAAGATCCCTGATGTAAGTAAATTTTCTCGTAGTTAGAACCTTTCGTATCTCTTGCTCAAGATCTTTAATATTAAATTATATTAAATAGTGGGCCTCATACGTTAAGACTGCTTGCTTCAAGGAACTCGCCCCTTATGACTCAGACTGGTTATACGTGAGAGCAGCTTCAGTTGCCTACCAATTGTACATGAGAGGCAAAGTCGGTATCTCAGCCTTGAGAACCCACTACGGTGGAAAGCAAAGAAGAGGCACCTGCCCACCACATCAAAGACAAGCAGGAGGAAAGATCATCAGATACTGCTTAAAGCAACTCGAAGATCAAGGTCTCGTTGGTCAAGTCAAGTACCAAGGAGAAGACGGCTCAGAGCAAACCGCCGGCAAGACCCTTACTGAGAAAGGTTCAACTGACATGAACAGAATTGCTGCTCAACTCATCAAGGAAAAGAGAAAGGCCAAGAAATGAGCACATGAACAACTCCACCGACCGCTCAAAAAGTGATAATTTCTCTAAAAGTTAAATAACGAAACCCTCTACCACATTCATGTCCCTCAAAACATTAAATCTCTCATTAATCTTATTCTTCTCTCATCTATCTCTCAATCGCTATTATTATTTAAATTATTATTTTCACTACCCACCTCTGTTTAATCCATACTAAGTCATGGGGTTTTGGGGTTTTGGGGTTTTGGGGTTTTGGGGTTTTGGGGTTTTG